CTTTTCCAACCTCAGTGATTCTAAGTTGCTGCAAGATAGCAAGAGAACAAATTAACCTCTGCCTACCCCAGGAAGTTGTAAAGCTGTCCATAAAAAACTTTTACATATTTTTTTCTTATCTCTTTCCTTTCTTTCATCTACTTAAATTTATACTTTGAACACCTTGAGACTGTCTCTTGCCTGGTAGGGCACAATCAGCTTGAAAATGTAGTGTAAGCATTAGGAAAAAAAAACAAACCAAACAACAAAAAACCCAACTTAACTGCCCCCCAGCACTTGCTTCATGCTGAACACAGCCTAGCTGATTCAGAGCTTCGGTCTCTCCTAACAACCGTATTGATGGGATTAGCACTTCCACTTCTGCCTGCTGTGCTGTGTTCTACTGACTCTGCACTTCTGGTAACTAATCAAGGATCTAAATGATAGAGAGATCAAAGAGAACCATGGATAGGATAGTCACATGCAAGTGCTTCTGCCCTCCCTAGCTTGGTACCTTTCAAACAATGTAAAAAAAGAAAAGAAAAAAAAGAAGGAAGAAAAAAAAAAAAAGGAAACGAAAAAACCCCAACCACCAAAACCTTAGGTGCCTACCTGTCAACATGATGGTACCTTGTTCTAGGTATTTCTGCTGTTTCACATCTGCACAACACAAAACAGGAAGACACGGGTATAACTGAGAACAGGGTTTGGTGCACACGAAGTTTGAGATGTCTGGAATTTTTCTGAGCCTGTTTGCTGCACTTCTCCCTTCAACCAGTGCCAATCTGTATGTAAAAAATCCCATTGCAGTAAAAAGCCATGGAGGGAAGTAGAATAATATATTCAGCAACTAGTGTGAGCAGACGGTAGAGGAACTGTATCAACATTCTCAGGCAGACTTTTTGGGCTAGCATCTGATCTTGCTTGTGCAGAGTAGTACTTCATTCTCCAAATAGTCCCATGGAAATCCACTGAACTACTTATTAAGCTGCAATATTTGTGAGCAGCGCATCAGTTTCTGGCCCTTAGGTTTCATTCTTTTTAACTTGATGTGCCAGTTAAAAATCTTCTCGTAGCGGCAGCTTGGATTTTGTCATAAATTAATATCCTCATAACAGCCTTTTAAAATGCCTAGGGGAACTTTTCGGACATAAAGATCTTTAAGTCAGAAGAACAGTGCAGCAGCATACGTATGGCCTTTCTCGTTGTATCACAGAGCGCTAATTGGCTGGGACATTTGCCTACCACAGAGTGCTTCTACATGGCTTTCTCTCTGTGTGATTTATTTACTAAATGAATTAGGAACCGAAAGCTGAATGGGAACTGTGTAAGTTCAGAGCTTTTGCAACTCAGGCAATTCTCAGGCCAGAAATAAACATAGGAACCTAAATGTGGGAAGACATTTTTAAAGTCTTGACCCAATTTTTGTAAGTGCTAGATGGTGAATACATACTTAACATACAAAGAACTGCTGCATTTGCAGATGATTTCTCTGCCAAAACTGTTTGGAATTCAAGTCCTGCTTCTGCCCTAGAAATACTCTGCAGGTCTCTAAAGGGGAGCAGATCCGTATGAGACTAATGAGAATAAATTGGTTTTATTCACATCCAAAATGTATCTCTCTCTTCTTTGCTCCTGAATCTGGCAGAGGTTTTTCCCAGTCTAACAAGGACATGTTGTGTGCCACAGGGGCAGAAAATCCAAGGAAAAACAGAAGTTAGGTATAGTTAGAACTGAACTGAATCATAACCAAAGCTTTTCATGAGATTGGTCAATTTAAAAAAAAAAAAGTGTATATAGTTATAAACCTTTCTTATTCTTAGTTTCAAAGTGAAACAAAAATGGAAAAAAAATACCCTACCACAAAGCATTTCTCATGTTATTCTGCCACAACTAAAAGTAGGTGCGACTTGAAATCTCAAATTAAATTTGGATCCCCTGAGATTTCTAGCCAATTCTGATGGAGCTGGGAGGCCTGAATTGCAACATCTGTATTAGCACTTGAAGGTCACTGTCTTCTTCCTTCCAGACTGCCAAAGCATTAGGAATGCTCTCTTTGTCTTTACAGCCGTGTCTTGCTATGATTATGCTGTGGAGCTTATCACCACTATGGGATTAAAAAGAAGGATTTGCTGCTGTCTTCTTGACATCTTCCACATAAAAGGAATATGTGGCACTTTGTGTATGTGGATGCCAGTGTAATGAGAAAATTGACAAATGTGGGTAGAGAATCAAGACGCTTCCCCATGGGTAGAGGGAACTGTTAGCACTGGCTTACGTTTTTAAAATTCCTTCGTGTCAACCCTTCAAAGAGAGGAATGAAGTCTGGTTTAACGGGTAGCCAGTCGTGCTATGTTCTTAGTTTATTAACATGTTTGATGAGAAATCTGCTATCGTGAAAGTTCCAGCAGTTTACCAGCTTCATAAAATGTATTATAGGAACAACCATGGAAATAATTCTATTTGTCTCTTATGAACCAATTTGTGTTATCATGCATATTTTGTAAGGCTCTTAAGAGTTTGCAAAAAAAAGAGGTTCCCTTGCCTGTACACTGTTCTGATAGCAACTGTATATTGCAAAGGATATCGGATCATGGCATGAAAATCTGTGTTAACCAAAGTACTTGAAAGCTAATTGTATAAACTACTCGACAATAACAAGGAAGTGAGCGATCTGAGGCAGCCCCTTGTCTTTCCTTTAACTAGTGCATTTTTTTTCTCAGTGCAGATCTTGATTCCAAATAGCACATCTGCTGTCAATACAACGAAGACATTAATCACAATTAAGTATATGTCTGAGCATTGTCCATCACTGGAACCCAAGGCCTGGAGGAGAAGCTAGGGACTTCTAGTAAAATAATATTCCTGTGTCCTCAGTGGGACTATTGTTTCACTGAGGTAGACTTTACAGAAGTGCAGAAATTTTAAGATTTTTTTTTTTGAGACATGAAAGAAAAATATTTTTGAGGAAGAAGGAATTGTATGTCCTCCAAAAGTACTTAGGTGCAAAAGGGAGCCAGGATTAAATGACGACGGATCTGCCACTGCTCTCAGGCAAGAAGCAAACCCACTTAAATCACAGATTACAAATGCTCACAAATAAACCTGACCTGTGTTTAAATGGACTAACATTCCCTCTCCCATCTCCACCACCTTAAGATCACCTTGATCTTACAATCTGTTCTTCAATAGAGATAAAAACGAGATGGCCAAAGCAGTATTGCTTTCAAAGTATCTCTACAGTCACATCGTTTAGGCATTGTCATAGACTGCGGCTTATAGCGTGTCTCCTGTGGTCATGTACAGGTCAGTGTTCAGTGATGCCTGCCTCTGTGTTTTGGAAAAAAAGAGTGACTTCTCTTTGCAGGAATATATATGCTCTGTGTGTGATGAATTTGTGCCTTTTATAACTGTAGCATTTTCTCAAGTGCCTCTGTAGTGACTGTCTCCCTTGGTTTCCTTCTTAAGTTCCCTTTTCAATATGCTCTGCAGGTATTTTTATCTGACAGCT